ATTATAGTGCTATCAATCTCTATTATTGTTCCATTTTTGCTATCAGGGCCTTTTCTGTTCAATTCCCCCTACCATTATTTATTATACTAAACTACAGGTAGTTCTCAACTTACAACCATTTGTTTAGTGACCACACTACAGTACAACAGAACTGAAAAAAATGACTTATGATCATTTTTCACACTTACAACTGTTGCAGCTATGATCTATGATCATGTGATCAAACTGTGAACAACAGCAACTGGCATGTAGTTGGTTGCAGTGTCCTGGGGTCGTGTGATCGACCATCTTTTGTGATCAAGCAGATTTACTTAACAACCATGTCACTAACTAACTGGAGTGATTCGCTTAACAACTCTGGCAGGAAGGGTTATAAAATGGAGCAAAACTCACTTAACAACTGTCTTGTTTAGCAATGAAAATTTTGGACTCAATTGTGATCATATGTTGAGGACTATCTGCATCTGAACTTTCAATAGAATAAAAAACACGTAAAGCAGACTCGTAAACAGTTATTTGCCTGCAAGTTAAAAAGCCTTTTATAAAGCAGGAGAGAAAGTTCTTTATTGCTATGATAGAAGGTCAATCAGATACAAATGATTAGCATAAATACCTGTGAGGAAAATGGCTAGTAAAACTGAACTTTATAAGATAGTGGATTGAATCCAATTTTGGTTTCATATAGACATAATTGTTCCTATCAGCAAAAGCAGTATGAGGTAATTTTCTAGTCCTCTGAAGTTAATTTCACATGGTACTTGAGGATAATCTCTACCTAGGGCTCCCACTCATTGGAAGACCAGCATTAGTTTCTTCCTGTTTGCAAATCTTACATTATTTTTAACAGTATCAATGTGGTCAATAATCTTCCTATATACTATATATTCTAATTTATACTCCCAATGTATATCTTTCTTGCTCCTTTAGAATATACTGAACATATTCAAAGCTTAGTAACGACAAAAATAGTTAGACAAAAATAGCATCTGAATTTTTTGTTTTTTCCTGATGATTTAGACTTCAAGCCTCAAAACACTGGATGTGCTAGTTGGGATTGATGGAGACCGTACTTGAAAACATCTGGAGGAGATCAAATTGCTAAACCTTAATTTGAAGTTTGAATGTTCTGCAAGCTCTTACATTTTCCCTCTACATAATAGTTTTCTCTCGTATGGCTTGGTTTTCTCTAAATAGTGCTTGCCACAACTTCCAGAATAGTAAACTGCCTAGTGGTCTTTTCAAATCATGGTTTATAAATCCACTGTAAACTATGGTTGGAAATGGCTGGTAAGTACAGAAATATAATAGGAAACTCAGGGAAGTGTAAGACATATGGAGAAAAGGATTAGCATATCCTCCATCATCAAATCATGTTTTGACAGATTTCATTTATAGCATCTCAGTTGTGTTTAAGTAAATTGGTAAATTATTGAAAATATACAAAAAATAGCAACACTTTCCTTTCAATATTTGTGTGCTATTTCTAACAACGAATGTACAAAAACCAGAAATATTTCATTCTTTTTAAGCAACTGAAAAATGAACTTAATTTCCTTTTAAATCTGCGATTTTAATTCTCAAACTCTCAACTATATAGCCACTACAGCCATTACATTAAGATTGAACACATCAAGACAAAGTAAGTTTAAGCAGACCACAAAGCTACATAATCCTAGACTTATACCTCAATCCTATCCATGTTTTCAGGAAAAACATCTCCCTCATATAATCGTGCTAAAAAAATCTGCACTGTATACAATTGTTGCCATCTGCAGAAACAAGTCATAGAGAAAATATTATTAATACAGAGCATGAAACTTCTATTATAAGGTACTAGCAAGAACAAATACTGTAACAAATTATTTAAATTTCTTCATTATATGTAAAAAAAAGTTATAAAACATTTTAACAACCAAATCTCTTTAATGAAATATTTGCTCTTCCCATCTGGTGCCATTTAGTTATGGAGTTATTAACCTATATTTTATATTTCAACTACAAAACAAGAAATGATTTACAAAATCAATAAACTTCTGCAGTGGTTGCCTTATCCAGTATAAAATAAAGCTTTGCCTAATGTGGCAACCAGAGAATGTCTGGACCCAAAACTCACAATAGGTTGATGATCCAATGTACAAATACCGCCTGATAATCCCAATTTAGAGGAAAATGATCTAGTTACTAACAAGAAAAAATACTTCAGCCACAGTTTTATCAATCATATTGTACTCTCTACAAAGTTCAGATCATATGTTTATATTTGTTTTATATAGGAATATATTTTATTCTAAAAAGCCAGAGTTAGTAATTAGTAATTAAGTGACTGCATCTCATTATAAAATCATGTTATCTGTTTCTAATTTTAAATTTTGCCTAAAAAAACAGAGCACGCCCAATATGCCTTAATTAAAGTTTCCCACAAATCTTCTTTAATAAGAGTGGCGAGTTTTTAATATCACCCATTTAGTTGAGTGAATGGGATCAATGACGATGCTATTATATGATCTTGTATAAAATTAGATGCAGGGTGCATTGCACATGCACACATATGTAAAAGTTCCTGTATTGGGATTGGTATTAAAACTAGTAGGTTCTAGGGACAAAAAAATGTTCAGCAGCAGTTCTGGTCCCTTCAGAAACTCCCTTCCAAAAGACACACAGTCCTTCCAGCTGTAGTATTCAACATTTTTTTTAGAAACCTATGCATTTCAAATAGATATTAATTTTTTTAACATTATGCCATGGATTTATTTTTTGCTGCTGAAGCTTTGGGAATTATTTGCACTTCTTGAATGTTAATCTTATAAAGATATTTGTTTAGTTATTTGCTCAAAAATAGGTGTTTTATGCCAAGATTGCAAATTGCTAATTACAAAATGAATATTGTAACACTGGGAGCAGACATCTCAACATATACACCTGCCTCTTCTCTCCAAATATAAAACATATGATACTCTCAAATTCGGAGCCATGCTGGCATCTCAAGCAAGTTTGAACTCTCACATCATAATCTTGAGGTTAGGGTTCATATCTCTGACTGATATTAATTCTTCTATTTCTTGACCTTTAAGCAGCACCTCACTGCTCATAATTCTTTTGAAAATTAATAGTTTCTTACTGCCTGTCCTCTCTCAAAAGTTTCAGCTGAAATATTCTACAATATTTCCTTCATCTGTCTTGGTAATTAAACAAGATTTTTGCTTCATTAGTCACTGAATATGTCACATCTGACTTTAAAACTATAGCTTCTCAAGTAAATTGTAATTACTAACATTATAACAAAAGCAATTTTTAGGAAATTCTCAAAACCTTTATGGTCTGCCGATTCAGCACAAAGAATGATTTAACACCAAACCACATACACACCTTGCAATACCACACCCTTGAAATCCTAGATGCAGTACACACCTAATATTGTATTCTATAAGTTTATCCTTATAATGGTTTTGTTAAAGAGAAAAGCTGGGGTTAATTGTATTGGTCCCTTAGTTTTGCTGAATTTGCTTTCAAACTAAGCCTAAATAATATTGCCAGGATTAAGTGATTTGACACCTGCATTTCTGCACAAATAGAAAGGCTGTGTGCATGATTGTGCCATAAGGAAGTTAAGTGTTTTTGTGGACTGGAATGCATCTATATATTCAGCCAATTGTGCTATTATTCATCCAAGATATAGGGGTAACTCTATTGTCAACTTGCTTTATACAGTAGGTGGGCAGTTTATTACAGTCTTAGACCAGTACAAGCAATGTGTCCATCCCTGCCTTGTATTTATAAATCTATCTTGAGACAGTAAATAAAGGCAAATTAAAATACATTTATAAAACAACCCAACTAAAATCCATGACTGAAATCCAAAAGTAGCAATCCATATCTATGTTATAAAGTGGTATCTATAATTGTGATTACATATAAAATTACAAAATTGTGGTCTCTAAAATTTACATAAAATGTGATATGTAATATTACAAAAACTTCATAATGTCTAAGATTGCATAGAATATATCTGTGAAGCAGGAACTTGGACCATCCTGTGCAGCATTTTACAGAGTGTATTTTTTTAGAGTGGTCTTTCCAAGAACCCTGGGGCAGCACCATTGGGATCCACCAACATTTCTGCTCACTCACATTTACCTATTTGCATAGATCTCCATAAGGGAGTCATTCCTTTCTTCCCCACCTTTACTCATTATAAAAGCCCAAAACTAGAGAAATGAAAAAACCATAGACTTAAGAGGTGGCAAACAGTGGGAAAATGTCTGCCAATTAAAAAGAATCATAGGCATATTTATTTGGAAATGCAAGTAAAAGGGTGTTTAAGGACTAAAGCCTACCACAAACACTATGCACAAGTTATATAACCATTCTCCACCAGTGAATCCTAAATTAGTCAATTACCATGTTTTAGTTCCTTTACAGTCAAAGTTCTTAACAGATGTCCCACTTTCCCTACTGAAAAGACTTCAAAAAGACAAACAACCTTGGCACTTTAAGCGTCTTGAACAACAAAGTAGCGAACAGGGCAATTAACAAAATTCCTAAACTCAGCCATTAAGTTCAGATAGAGATTTACTCCAAACAAGGAAAGGTACGTTCACCCCTGACCTAAAACACACACATATACACCTCACGTACATTTTACTTACTCCCAGATCCCTGAAAGTGAGAATCCCTCATCGGGCCGGGATTATTATTATTATGATTTATGGGCACTTTTTTTACGCGTTCGTAAATCAACCCCCAAATCAACGGGGGAGGTGCAAAGCGCTCGGATTTTCCCCGGGCGGGGAGGATTTCTCGCCACAGGTGAAGGGCTGCAGTCAAGCCAAGAGCTGGAAAGGGAAGCAAAAGAGAGGCGCCTTTCTCTCCCTCGCTCGATTTTTAGGCCAGGTTATGAAGCACACACAACCTGTTTGGCAAGGTAAAAAAAAAAGACGAGCGTGGCACCCCCCCCTTCCCGTACTCTCCACCGCTGCCCGCCCTCCTTCTCCCCTACTTACAGTAAATGGGTGAAGGCGCTGAGTCCTTCGGGCACGGCGGTGAGCCCCCTCCCGGAGCAGTCAACTCCTCCGTCCCCATCGCAGCTACAGGAAGCCGGGCATGGAGAAAGGGAAGCTCTTTCGCTGGGCCCAGCCAAGCAGCCAAAGCCCCAGGCGAAGAAACCGAGTAGAACCAGGCAGCGCATCGCCAGACTCTTCGTCCTTGTCGCCCAGGCGATCAAAAGCTCCCTCGGCGCGCACCGACCGGCCGGCCGGGGACGATCCCTTTTCAGCAACGGGGGGCCAAGTGCCTTACGCTCGCCCCACCTCGGGCCCTGGAGCTCTCCGAGTCTTTCGTCTGGCGCCGCTGGCTGACTCTGCCTCCCTTCCTTTCCCACCTCTTGGCCGGAGCGAGCGTCCTCTCCGTTCCCCTTCCCCGCAACGCAGGTCCCGCCGACGTTTCAGCGCCTCGCCTTCCTCCCTTCCCACCCCATGGAAAGGCGGCAGGCTGTCGCCGAGCCCTCTCAAGGCAGCAGGTAAAAACGTGCCCCGTTGGAATCTGCCATGACGCTCGTCTTTCCCGAGCTCTCCTTTTGCAACGCCCGGCGTAGGTTAAGTAAGCGCGGGCTCTTTTAGGAAGCGAAGCCTTCAGCCATTCCAGCACACGCGCTCGCCAGTTTTTTTCCTCGCCTCGGCCGTTGCGCTTTGCCAGCAACTGCCTTGCCCGCCTGCCTGCCTGCTTTCCTTCGCCTTCTAGGGTTGCACACAATACGGCGACTGCGTGTGTGCGCTTAACTCGCCCGACTCCCGGCGCCTGCTGGAGCGATATGCAAAACAGCGAGGTGTGTATGCTAATGAGAGAATCGGGCTGCTCGTTCTCATTGGTCGAAGAGGAGCCTCAGCCTAGTAAATATATACAAATCTCGGAGCCTGTTACTCCCCCCCCCCCACACCCCGCAAACCTTCAGCAGTCCCGAACAGAAGGGAAAGAAACGGCCTCTCATTGGTGAAAGGGGAGCTACGGGTAGGCGGGGCAACAAGCGATAAGTGACAGGAGAGGCGGAGGTTTTCTTCGATAACCAAGAAGGGTTGCGGGGTCGAGAGAGAAGATTTTTTCTAAGATGGAGCCTCTTGTTGGGTGCGACTTGCCCTGCACAGCTGCTTGTGGACGGTTCCTTTTCTCCTGGGATACCAGTCAAAGATCTCTACGCCCCTTTTTGCTAGGGAATGGCCTGCTGGAATTGCTCTCGTCGAACAAAACAGCCGTTCAGACGTCAAGGAGGAGTCTGCAAAATGAAGCACGTGCTGGCAAATACTTCAACCAAGAGGACCTCAAGGCCTTAATAATTCATTTAACTTTTGAACTGAGCTTCGTTTTTTGGGCTAAGGTGATATTGCAATCAGCAAATGCAGTATTGGGGGGGGGGGGAAATCCATAAATCTGGCGGCAGTTGCTTATGTCTAGAACACTTGAAATGGACCCTAGGCAAAACAAGTTAAATTGCTACCTTGGTTTTAAAAGTCTGCTGATCTGCAAACCACTGAAACTGGGGTTTTTTATTTTAAAAAAATGATGTAATATTGCTGAAATAGAAAACATTTAAAGCCTCCTTGAACAGTGCTCAGTATTTGGCTTTGACAGAGCAGTTTATGATGAGAAAATCCAGTTACAGGTAGAAGCAGAATGGAATTTCCAGAAACACCTTTGGAAGGATTTTAGGCGCTATTATCCATCAGTGCAGTCTTATACCATCTCATGCCTTCCAGATGTGTTGAATGTGCAATTCACGAAGAGCTAAAGAACCCAGATTGGAGAATGGATGTCTATGCTCTTTTAATCAGTGAAGACGCTAAGAATATTACACCTGCTATCAGTAATTGGTATTAAAGAATCTGATCAGTGCCATTTTCATCTGCAGTCTAAATAACAAAACTGGTCTCCATTATAATACTGTTGCAAGTCTTATCACTAGGTAGTGTGAATGGTTGGACTACTGGAAGGTGCATATGTGACATATGTCAAAAGTCTCAACACTCCTCACTCCCAACACTGCTATCATATCTACTTCTGGATGCCTCAAAAGAAGTTTGAAAATGATACATAATGAACTATCTTGGTTCTGTTAGCCTTTAAAAACTAAAAACAGTAACAACCTTGTTGCAGCTGCCATGAGTTGTGAAATAATAAATACCCCTACACACACAGAGGGAGGGAGGGAGGGAGGGGGAGAGAGAGAGAGAGAGAGAGAGAGAGAGAGAGAGAGAAAAAGAAAAGGGAAATAAATTACTAGAACCTTTCTTACTCCATTGCAAATATCCTTACTGAATGTTGCTATCCTTCATCCCTACTTTTATATTAAAAAACTGATTTATCTGAAGGAGTGTTGCAAAGCCATCAAACACTTTTCTAGAAAGACTGGCTAAGAAACTAAAGCCTAGAAAACTGAGACAGGAGCAACCTGCTCACAAGTTATGTTACAGTGGTACTGTTTCAGAGAAAGCATTTTATTGCTGTTTCAAATACATGATAGCTGAGGCAACTTAGTTCTTGAATATCATCAACACTGTGGATTCATAGGAGTCTAAAACTTTTTGAGCCAAATATTCAAAAGGAGGGGTCCTTAAATGGCTATGGCTATTCATTCAGAGAAGCATATTGGATTGTACTGAGCTGCCATCTATATCCATATAGGAAAACTAATTTTAAAAAGCATGCTCAAGAAAAACTGGATTTGTATTCTTTTTCTTAAAAATATATTCATTTCCCCCCTACACAAGTGATTTTCACATTCCTAAGCATTCTTTTTCAAAATATACTGTATTTCTAATCAAGTCAGTTGATAGTAGATAAACATGTTCAAGGGCAAAGTTCTACAATGACTAAATCTCCATAATTTACTAAAGCTTTGCAAAAACACAACTAATAGTCATGATACATTCACATTTGCATCACTGTCCCCCATTGAATTTGATGGAAAATAAAACTTCTTGGCTGGATTAGATGTACTATTGTCTAATAATTATAGGTACTGAATAACGTATTTGCTTTTGTCTGTGGGAAACAGGTTAAGACATGATTCTTCTCCTTAATAGAAGCTTGTGTAAATCTGATGACATATTTTAACATGAATTCAGTAATAAGCCTTAATCACCTTAAATGGTGGGACTGAATGACTGACATTGAAAAGGCTGCTATTGTGTGCAATGTACCATGAAGGACTCCTTTGTGCAGATTTGCTTCATATAAGGAAACAACTAAAGAAAATAAGTTGATGGGTATTGTGGTCATAGAGGTGGAATGACATAGCAGGTTTCAGCTTTGCTTTTCTGATTGTCAGGAACTTTGTCATATTTGGAAAATAACAGTTTCTTTCACTCAAAGCTATTTCTTACATATTAAATGTGGCATGTAACTTTCTCATAGGGATTGTGTACTTTGTGGGGGGAGGGGAAGAAACCCAGAAACCTTGTTGAGTTTGGATGCCTTGGAAAGGAAAAGTATCAAGGAAAAAAATTACAAAAATTTGCAATTGAAAGTAATCTCCTCATACCACAAACTCTGTAGAAACAAACCACTTCCTGGACTTAGTCAAAACATAACTTCATTCATTTGAAGTTAGTGGCAGCAGGAATGTCGCTCTATAAGTAATTCATAGAACCTATAAGGAAAGGACAAAGATTTTTTTTAAAAAAAAACTATCTTTCTGAAGGTTGATTGATAAAGGAAGCAATGCTTCCTTTATCAAGGAAGTGTTTGTATTATCGAATATTGCTTGTCTCTTTTCAAATATTTTTTTCCTTTCTCTCCTTCTTTCTCTCCTGATCTCTCTCCTCAAAGTCCCTTTCTCCTATCAAAGATGTATAGAGATGAGATTCTATCGGTTCGGGCGAATTGGTAGCTCTGACTATCAGCTGGGAATGAAACAGGTTCTCTCTGACTTTCAGCTGGGCCCACCCACCCACCCCTGCGCTTTACACATCTATATTCCCTTTTTTGAAGCCCAGCTGATAGGTGCGGCAGAGTGGATTGCTGCGCCTCATCTGTTTTCCTCCCCAGCAGTAATGTGGAAGGTGATTTCTCTGAACTAATAATAAATAATTTCAACCCAGAAAACATGGAAGAAAGCCAAAGAAGCCAATGTGGCCCCAATAAATCTTATTGAAAATCTAAAGAAAAGATACACACAGAAGGTAGAACCAGTGAAAAAATATTTAACAGGTAGTTCTGGTTACGAAGGTTGCATCAGGAAAGCTAAAGCTCCAAATGAACTGAAGTTAGTAAACAGAAAAATATGTTTCTCTGTGTTGGATATCTTCAAAATAAAAGCAAAAGGACCATTATACCAGCAATGCAAATAATAAGAAACAATGAAAAGGCAAACTATTTTGATTCATTCTTCAATGTTGTACCAGGTGATCGTGAAGAGAAAAACGAAAATACAGAACTGATGCTTGAAATGAATAGAAATCTGATCAGGGAGTATGCCTTTTATTCCAATCATTGGCTCTGTTTTTCAAAATGGAAAAAAAGTTGAGGAAACCTCATACCAGTTAGACTCATGTTAACATTGAGGAAGATTTTAAAGCAGACTATAATGAGAGAAATCAGTAAACATTTTGAAAACGAGCAGTAGCAGTAGGAGTTTTTAAGATCAGGTCTTACCCAACTAATCTTATTGTTTGATCAGGTATATTTCTTAGTAGCTTGTACAAATGTGATACACAATATGTAAAATATCTTAATTTGGAAAAAAAATAAAGCATTTAAAAACATTTTTAAAATGACATCCTAATTAACAAGCCATTTTAGTGTTAAGTATCTGGCATCAGTTGATATATAAGCTGGTTTGAAAAATTACACTTATAGAGTGTTCATCATTGGTTCCTCATCAAACTGGAATGAGATATTGATGAGCTACAAAATTCAGTTGTTGATATTATAATCTTCAATTATTATTTCTTTAAATTGATGGGGTGGAGGAATGCTTATCAAATATGCAAATAACACAAAATTAAGTTGAATACAGAAATAACGGTTATCTTGATAGATTGCCAAAGTTGGCTGAAAATAGCAACATGAAATTTAACAGAGACAAATAGAAAGCTATTCATTTAGGATAAAGAAGGGAAATGTGAGATCAATGTTGATTCCTGGCAACTTCCTGGACAAATCAATGCAGTTTTCTTGGCAATATTTTTCAGAAGTGGTTTTCTATTGTTTATTTCCTAGGATTGAGAGAAAGAGGGACTGGCCCAAGATCACCCAGCTGGCTTCCTACCTCAAGTGGGACTAAAACTCTTGATCTCCCAGTTTTTAGCTGGGAGTACCTTAACCACTAAATTAAGCTGGCTCTTCTAATAGCATTATTGGAGATTAAAGGTGGCCTGTAGGGTAGCCAGTCATAAATCACATTATGTTACAGACATTTAAAGATAAGTGCCAGAACTAGTTGGCAGCTAAAGATGGGGTGAAGCCAAGAAGTAAACAAGAGATCAGAATCAGAACAGGAGTAATGGCAGGCTGAGGTAACGTCTATGATTTATTTATTTATTTATTTATTTATTTATTTATTTATTTATTTATTTATTTATTTATTATTACATTTATATGTCGCCCTTTTCCCCGAAGGGGACTCAGGGTGGCTCACAATTCAATCAGGGAAGGAGGTACAGACAGGGGGATAAAAAGACAAGACATAACAATACAAAATTTAAAAACACACAACAACC